AGACAATCTTTCCATCATCCACACCCTATTACTAGCCAGGCTTCTATTAAAACATGACTAGCTCACATTTAGATGGCCTTGTGCAGTTTGCCAGTGACTTTTCTCATGCAAAGCTGTGAGGTTAAGGTAATCTCCTTTAGGAGTTTCCAGAAAAATCCAAAATGACACATCTTTCTCAGCAAAAATACTAAGCCAGTGCCTAGCACTGTGCTCAACACATAGCAGGCGTTTAATAAACATTTGTTGATTGACTGACTGATTTATTGATTAACAAAACACTAAAGTTTTGAAAAGGATGTCTCCAAGGGCTGCAACTCAGAATAAGGGGTTCACAGTCTCCAAAGGATTTGAAAGGTTCAAAGAATTGCAATAATTAATCTGAGAGAACAGCAGACTGCGGGGTGATATAATAATTGCTTTCAGAATACTGAGAGTTATTACATAGAAGATGGTAACCAACTGTGCTCTATATCCATTGTGGGAAAAACAAGAGAAATCCTGACAGTAAAGACATTAACAGAGAACACTGGGAACATTAATCTAATTTCTTTCCCTGGAGATATTCAAAATTAGGGGAGATAACAATCTGAGACCATTTCTGTTCAGTCCTGCTGGAGGCAGGGGAATGATTGAGACGGTGACCTTTTTCAGCCCCCTCCCCCTCACTCTCCCTTGTCCTCAGGGTTCCATCTCTCTGCCCTGGCCACTCAGTGCACTTCAACTTGCTGTACACATTATAATCCTGCAAAGAATGAAGACTTCTCAAGTACTCCCTCCACCACCCTTCAGGGCTCTATGACAGCTACCCAAAAGAACTAAACAGACTGAGATGCTAAGATATTAATTATTAGCACAAGCTCTCTGGACAAATACTTCCCAGAAGAGGCCCCAAACCAAGTGTGAAGAATTATTCAGAAAACTTATGGAAAGAATAGATATCCACAGAATCACAAACAGTTTAGAGTTGGAAGGCACCTCGGTGACCCCAGGCCAACTCTAACCTGAACAAGAATCCCTTCTATGATATCCTCAGGAAGTGGTCATCCAGCTTGCTCTAGGCAGCCAGGTGCCACAGTGGGCAAGCACCAGGCTTGGAGTCAGGAACACCTCAGTTCAAATCCTGCCTTAGAAACTAGTTGTGTGATGCTGGGCAAGTCACTTTACCTCTGCCTCCCTCAGTTCCCTCATACAAAATATGGGGGTAACAATAGCATCTATCTCTCAGGGTTATTGTAAGGATAAGATGGGATAATATTTGCCAAGTGCTGTGAAGATCTTAAAGCACTCTCTAAATGCTAGTTATATTATCATTATTATTATTATCATTATCATCATTAAAGTACTCTAGTAAAGAGAAAGTCATTACTTAAGGCAGCCCATTCCACTTCTGGACAAGTCTAATTGTTTGGAAATTTTTCTTTACACTGAGATGAAATGTTCCTCTCTCCACCTCCTACCCCGTACTCCACTCTCTAGTTCCAATCTCTAGGCCTAAGCAGAACAAGTTTGAAATGATGATGGGACTATTCTTTGGGCTCCTAAAATTTGGAGAATGTGCCCATCAACACACACACACACACACACACACACACACACACACACACACACACACACACAC